TGCTGCCGCCACGACTTTCCCTCGGGAAGAAACAACACGAGGGCATCAACGGATTGAAACCCACGTCGCTAACAGACCAGCTCCACGCGGTACCCCCGCACCAGTGGATGCTTTGTCATGGTACTTGGAGGTAGACATATGATCGTGGTTGGTCATGGTTATTTGGCACAGTCGGATGCTAGGACGTGATGTCGCTAGATCAGGGTTTTATGCCGCGACATGTGCCCTTCTGTGCAGTGTGCCTGCAGACGATCCATGATCGTGTGTACGTGGGATATTGTGAGCTGGCTTGGAAAGCGTTAATCAAAATAAAAAGAGAACAACGGAAAGCAACAACAACCTGCTAAAGGAAGGTGAGAGTGGCCTGGCGGGTTTTTTTTCTTTCACGGTCACAATTTTCTTGTTCCCCACCCGCCGCTCAACACATCTATGCACATGGTGTCACAAGAATCACAGGCCACAGAGAGACAGAAAGATAGAGAGAGTCAGCCTGAGACCGACAAGCAGACACAGACAGACACAGAGCGAGAGCGGGGGGGGCAGAAGCAGGATGCAAAACCAGACGTTTTGGAAGGCTGTGTAGCAGCCCCTTTGTGTTTGCTGGGGCTGATGATGTGGCCTCTTCGTTTTTGTTTTGCCGTCCCTCTACGTCATCTAGGTCTTCTTGCCTACAAGCTGGGAAACTTAAGCCAATTTCACCTCTAAGCCATGCACTCCCAACAATCGTATCAGAAAACCAGAGCCAAAACTTTTTCAGCTACACAAATTGCAAGAGAAACAATTGCGTTTTCCGGGCAAGTGCACGAATATCGACGCACCGACCATGGATTCAAAAGGTAGAAGTTGCGACAGGTCGGGCAAATTTCTTCTTGTTCTGCACAAGTCTTGCAGTAGATTGCATTGATGAAATGGGCTCTAATCTCCTTTGTATTTATCGGTGCACACACTGAAAAATATCTCCCCCCGGTGCGATTGCTTTTTTCACTTACGTCGATGTACATCACGATCCCTCTAAACAGCTTTTTTGTTGCTAAAGCAAAGAAGCCCCCTGTCGGCGCGCTCTAAAAAGCTATCATTAGGGGTTATAAAAAAGCAGGAAAAAAAAAGGTCGATCCCGGCGGAGAGCACCTATACCCTGTAGCACCTTGGACAATATTGCTAAATCCGTGCATTGACCTTTCGATCACCTGGAAAACTCACAGGGTGCGGCAGGAGTACCCTGGCATGCGGCGGTGCTGCAGGGAGCTGAGAGGTTCTTGACCTCCTGGCACGAGAACGAAGAAGATGTCAGCCGACAACGGGCGCTCAAACGAAATCACAAGCCACCAACCAATGGGGCGGGAGGGGTGCAAGAGGCGGACGAGACGGCGAGGGAAGAAAGCAAACGAGAAGAGACGGACCGAGTGGCGCGATACGTGCCGGATTGAATTTCTTTTAGCCAGTTCC